TATTGAAGTTTATTAAGATATAAGCTCATCCCGATGTTATACTTATCGAGGTCTTTCATTTGAATACCCACTTGGCATTTTTTATATATTTGATATTTGTGAAATATATAAAATATATGAAAATTTGATGTGGGTACTCAAATGAACAGTCTCGATGAGTGTAACATCGGAATGAGCTTATATCTTTAAAAATGTCAATATTTCACAAGATACACGGTAATTTCTTAAGTATTGATATTTTTAAAGATGTAGGCTCATCCCGATGTTACACTCATCAAGAGCTTTCATTTGAGTACCCACATGCATTTTGTTATATTTTTCATATATACATATATGTAATATATATAAATATATAAGAAATTGATGTGGGTACTTAAATGAAAGGTCTTAATAAGTGTAACATCGGGATGAGCCTACATCTTTAAAAATGTCAATAATTCACAAGATACAAGGTCATTCTTTAATTATGTATCTAACGATAGAGTATTTTTGAATACAGCCTAAAATTTATTATAAAAAATTGGCTATCGGTGAGAATGATATGAAACCTTGAAAAGGCATAAATTAAAGTCAAGACCATTGCAATAACACTAAATTTCACTAAAACCACCGATTTTATCATATGACTATCTTGGACACAAAATTTTTCTTATTCTCTTAATAATATAGATATATTCATACATCAATCGGCTTTATACATATAAGTGATACAAAATTTTGAGAAAAATTAATATAAAAAAAAATAATAATACAAAAGAAAGATTAATATACAAAAGAAAAAGTATTGAGAAATTGTTACAAGATTGATTTTAATTTAGCTAAGAATGTTATGAATCATTTTTTTATTGAAATAAAATTTAATGACACTGAAATTAACAGACACTTTAAAATTTTTATTTTACTGAAATCGAGTTAATACTAAAGTTAGCCGACGTTTTTAATTTTTCGATTTTTCTTTTCAATAATTAAATTAGAACAAAAAAATATTTTTTAAAAGGTGCACTTGCAGTTTTTCAAGTTTTTTACAAATGAATTTTTTTTTTCAATAAATTTTTCAATAAAAAAAATTCTAAAAATTTTTAGATGTCGGCTAACTTAATTTTCATGAAATTGGGAGACATTTGATCATTTTTAGAAATTTTTTAACTCATAAATTGTTGCAAGAAAAATTTATTTTAAAAATTCCATCTTTAGAAGCTCTAAAAAATTATAAATGCAATTTTTTAAAAATAGTTTATTATTAAAAAAAAATTAAAAATTATCAAGTGTCTGCTTATTTCAATGTCATAAATTTTTTTATTTTTCTTGATAAATAAATTAAAAAGTAGGATTTATAATTTGTTATAGCTTTTGAAGGCAAAATTTTTTATTACAAATTACTCTTGCTATAATTTATTTGTTGAAAAATTTTCAAAAATTATCAAATGTCTCAATTTCATTATCATTAAATTTTTTTTCATATTAAAATATAATAGAATTTGAATTTATTACAAATGTCAATTTTTTATCCAATTAAACATTAAAAAAAAAAATTTCAGACGTTACTTGAATTTTTTATTCTGCATCGAGAAAAAAGAAGAGAACAAAAAAAACAAGCGCTTAGCAAAGAACAAGGAAATCGAAGAATTAAAGCAAGCAGGACTTTTGAGACCCAACGATATTCCTCTCTGGATGCAATACACATTGGGAGGCAATTCAATGTTTATGAGGATTCGCGACAACACAATGAATACTGCAAGTAACTGGTGGTTGCATCGAGCCTCGATGTTTGGTCCCAAGGTGGTTCTCGATTGCGGGTTCGAAGACAAAATGACGCGACAAGAGATCAGGAACTGCGCCAAGCAGCTGATGTTCGCCTTCGCAGCAAACCGCGAGTACACAGAACCTTTTGACTTGCACTTCTGCAACTTGAACAGGTCGAGCTATCTGTTTGAGGAGCTTTACAGCTTTATTCCGACGATGCTCGAACCAGAGTTCCCGATCAACCTTCATGAAAATTCCTACTTGGATTTGTATTCAAGAGATAAGTTGGTTTATTTAACGCCAGACTGCAAACAGATGATGAGCGAGTATGATACTGACGCTGTTTATATTGTTGGAGCTATTGTTGACAAGGTAATTTTTTTGTTTTTATTTACGAATATTTTTTTGCATGACTCATAATGAATTAGAAAGTGCTCAAAAAAAAAAAAAAAAAAAAAAATTTTTTTTATATATTAAGGGTTCATTCTGGTTCCGGTGCTCCGAAAAAAGCCAATTTTCATGATTTTATTTATTTATTTGTTCAATTTAATCGGCCCTAGAACAAGTGTAAATATGTAAATGTGTAAATATGTTAAAGACAATAAGATAAAGTCAATAATATGAATTCTATTTTGTTGAAATTAAATAAGTGAATTAATATGAATTAGATTTAGATTTTGTTTATTTATTGACAAGGCACAGGCCAAATGGCAATTTCAATTACATAGTATATACAGTTTTTACAAGAAAACAATTTCTGTGAGTACATTGAGAAAAAAAAATACTTTTATTAAGAAAATTTTCTTGATACAAGAATTCATGTTCTTGAAATTTTTCAAGAATATATAAGGTAAAAGCCTCTATTATTGACAGGGTCCCTATTATTGACATGTTGTTTTATTTTATTGATTATTTAATCAATTTTATGATTAAATCACAATGAATTCTTGAAATTTTTCAAGAATATATAAGGTAAAAGCCTCTATTATTGACAGGGTCCCTATTATTGACATGTTGTTTTATTTTATTGATTATTTAATCAATTTTATGATTAAATCACAATGAACATTGCTTTTTATCAATTTTTAGAAATTTTTAGTAAGAAAAAAGTAAAATTTTATGCCTGGGTATTAATTATAAACTGCAAAAAAATTTTATTTTTCCTAGTAGACCACTAGACTACGGCTGGTTTATTTAAAATTTCTTAACAATTTCGCTAAGAGAGAGTGTATTTTAAATATCGAATTTTTATATATAATTCTAATATAAGCCTATCATCCAAAATTATTTGAGGTTATTTAAACTCTAAATAATGTTAAATTTATTGTTTTAAGCAGATAAATTTTAATTATGATTTAAAAATACCGGATGTCAATAGTAGGTACTATACATAAAAATTAACATGTGTTTAACTAGCGACAGCCTACAATTTTAAGAAACTTAACTTCTTTAACATACATAGCGGATTTGTTTAGGGTAAATGCACCAATTATTGACCGATTAAGGTTTTCTTTCTCTGTACTAAGCTATAAAAAATCTATTAACCTACTAAAAACAATTTGTAATGGATTTTATTAAAATTAAATATTTAATTAATAATAATTAATACTTGTTTATAATAAAAATTAACAAAATTATATTAATTTTGTTATTTGAATTTTGAAATACTAAAATCACCAATTATTGACCGAAGAAACACAATAAATGACCGACCGTTCTCCAATTAATTGACCGCTCAAATAATTATAAGTAATTTTGTAAACTACATGTATGTAATTAAATTTATGGAGTACTTTTGAAGTATTAACGACATCTTTAACAAAACTAAACATACAATATAATTTTAAATTGTACTTTTTTATAAAATAATATAAATAATAGCGATAATTAACATAAAGTCACATTTCTTCAGTCAAATTCATTTTGATGACGATAATTCTTCTGATTGACTTGAAATTTTTTTATTCTTCTTCTTTTTTTCAATTAAAGCTTTTTTACTAGCTTGTAACTATTTTTTATTTTTTTAATTGCTTAGCAATTTTTTCTTCTAATAATTCGTTCTTTGATATAACCGTTCACTAAAAAAATTACAACAAAATAAAATTTAATAATCAAAAAAAATTTTAAGTATTATTTTAATTGTAAATATACATTTTATAATGATTATTTTAATATTTACAAAATATTGAATGACTAAAGTACTTTAAACACTTGACAAATTTAATTTTGATGTTAAGAAGTTAGTATTATAAATATACGGTCATTAATTGGGTTGTGATAAAATTAGGGGGTCTAATAAATGACCGAATGAATTTTTTACTGGGTAAAGGACTTCTGACGGATCCAATAGTTGAACGGTCTTAAAATAATATTAAAATTTATAATTTAACTTTATTTTTTCAAAAAAGTTGGAATCTGATCTTTAATTAACATAATAAAACTAAAATATTTTATATTATGCCGATAAATATCACTAAATTAATGATGAAATGCACTGACTCTCCAATTGTACGGTAGTTATTTTTGACCGCTTTATGGCTGGTTGCGTTGTAAACAAACTCAGAATATTTTTTTAAAGCTATAATCACTGCGCAATTAATTGCGTAATTTTTTATTGTGATGATTAAATGCCATATTTTTTTATTTTAATACTTTAAAAAAAAAAAAACCCTTGTAAAATATTAATTAATTAACTTTTTTATAGATCGGTCAACTAATTGGTGACCGGTCAACAACTGGTGCATTTACCCTATGTACTTTCGAAAAATGTAAAAAAAAAAAATTTTTTTTTTAAATTACAAACCAGAATTATCCCTTCAATGAGCATTATGAGTTGTGCCTTTTTAAATTTTCCAAACTTATTTGTAATATTTTTATTGAATAAAAATTTTTCAGGTTTCGGGGAATCCTGTAACTCTTGCGAAAGCAAAAAAAGAAGGCATACGAATGGCTAAACTGCCAATAGACAAATATCTAAATTTCGGCGGTGGATCCAATAAATCTTTGACTATCAACCAAGTGATTGGAATTCTCTGTGATTATTACAACACAGGTGACTGGTATCATGCGTTTCGTTTCGTACCCAGACGTAAATTAACCGAAAGCCGTGAAGCGCAATTGAAAAAGAAGTTGAGCTATTACCTAGAAAATAACAAAGATTTTAAAAGCGGAAAAGATTTTGCTATAGAATCTAGAAATAAATTCCGCCGTAATTAATTGTTATATATTTAATAAGTTATTAAAAATTCATTTATTTTTATCAACTAAAAATTAAAAAATTTTAAGTTGAAATAAATAAATTTTTGCACTTAAAAAAAAAATATCGTAAAATTTTAATTGTAATAAAATTTATTCAGTCATAATTTTTCATATATAAAAACTTGGTTTATAAATTTTGTTTTAATTATTTCAAGTATCATTGTTTAGGTACAATAAATTACGTGTACATAGATCACACTACAATATATATATATATATATATATATAATAACATAAATTATCACACAGTAAAAATAATTGTTTTCAATTAAAATAAAATTAGCGAAGAAACAAAATGTACAGCAAAAAAAATTAATTACGCGGAATGTCGCGACAACTGACTTGGAAGCTACGTTTTATTGAAACGTGGGGATAAAGTTGTCGCCATTCCTGGACTTTAGTATCACTGATGGCGTCGCAGAAGCTCAGGTCCATCATACGTAATTGCGGACAGCAGAGAAGAAAGCGAAGACAGATGTCTGAAGTGAGTGATCGAGCCCCGAGGATATCCAGCTGCTGAAGTTGCTGGCAGAGGAGCAGAGGCTCTATATCGCGGTCTGTTAGTCCGCGAAGCGCTGATAGGAACACTTTCTCCAGAGATGTACAGCAGGCCAAAAAGGTACGTAGTGAATCGCCGGGTGCTCCCACTCCTCCGCTAAAAAATTATTTTTATCAGGAAATTTATGAGAGAAAATTGAGAAAAAAAATGAAAATTAATATTAACATACCACCATCCAAAATCAACTTCGCGTAATCTAGTACAACGTGTGAGGGCACGTACTCCGACTGGCGTGAGAGTTTGGACCTTCCAACAATCTATACTCTCTAAATAGTTACAAGAGTTAGATAATTCCAGAGCTACTTCGTCCATATTCAGGCGGTCGTTTACGCCGGCTAAATTCAAATGGCGAATTTTTTTGTTGTTCTTTAATATTGAACACAGCTCCGCTGTTTCTATTGAAGTTCTGTACAGCTCCAGTCGTTCTAGGCAGTGTAATTTGTCCAGGTTGCCGAATCCTTCTGTGGTAACTGATGTGCAATTACGCAAACACAATTCTGCAAAAAATTTAATAATTGAAACGTCGTACAGAAATGTAAAATTAGTTATGGTTTAAAAGTATATAGGGTAAATGCACCAGTTGTTGACCGGTCACCAATTAGTTGACCGATCTATAAAAAAGTTAATTAATTAATATTTTACAAGGGTTTTTTTTTTTTTAAAGTATTAAAATAAAAAAATATGGCATTTAATCATCACAATAAAAAATTACGCAATTAATTGCGCAGTGATTATAGCTTTAAAAAAATATTCTGAGTTTGTTTACAACGCAACCAGCCATAAAGCGGTCAAAAATAACTACCGTACAATTGGAGAGTCAGTGCATTTCATCATTAATTTAGTGATATTTATCGGCATAATATAAAATATTTTAGTTTTATTATGTTAATTAAAGATCAGATTCCAACTTTTTTGAAAAAATAAAGTTAAATTATAAGTTTTAATATTATTTTAAGACCGTTCAACTATTGGATCCGTCAGAAGTCCTTTACCCAGTAAAAAATTCATTCGGTCATTTATTAGACCCCCTAATTTTATCACAACCCAATTAATGACCGTATATTTATAATACTAACTTCTTAACATCAAAATTAAATTTGTCAAGTGTTTAAAGTACTTTAGTCATTCAATATTTTGTAAATATTAAAATAATCATTATAAAATGTATATTTATAATTGAAATAATACTTAAAATCTTTTTTGATTATTAAATTTTATTTTGTTGTAATTTTTTTAGTGAACGGTTATATCAAAGAACGAATTATTAGAAGAAAAAATTGCTAAGCAATTAAAAAAATAAAAAATAGTTACAAGCTAGTAAAAAAGCTTTAATTGAAAAAAAGAAGAAGAATAAAAAAATTTCAAATTAATCAGAAGAATTATCGTCATTAAAATGAATTTGACTAAAGAAATGTAACTTTATGTTAATTATTGCTATTATTTATATTATTTTATAAAAAAGTACGATTTAAAATTATATTGTATGTTTAGTTTTGTTAAAGATGTCGTTATAATACTTCAAAAGTACTGCATAAATTTAATTACATACATATAGTTTACAAAATTACTTATAATTATTTGAGCGGTCAATTAATTGGAGAACGGTCGGTCATTTATTGGGTTTATCCGGTCAATAATTGGTGATTTTAGTATTTAAAGATTCAAATAACAAAATTAATATAATTTTGTTAATTTTTATTATAAACAAGTATTAAGTATTAATTATTAATTAAGTATTTAACTTTAATAAAATCCATTACAAATTGTTTTTAGTAGGTTAATAGATTTTTTATAGCTTAGTACAGAAAAAGAAAACCTTAATCGGTCAATAATTGGTGCATTTACCCTATATAATACTGACAATAAAAAAATTTTTTTTATATTGACAGAAAAAATTTTTTTTGCGCGAAGCGCGTGAGGTTGTGCTTTATATTCGACTCGTTAAGGTCAAGGTCAAGCAAGTGATCTTTAAATGCTTCTATCACTTTTTTTAATTCAGACAAGAAAATTTTTTTTTTTAATTCGAAATTTTTCATACTAACAAAAATTTTTTCTCAAAATTTCTTCTAAATAAAATTTAGTCAGTATTAAATTAAAATCATAATTAAATCAATTCTCAAATAAAATTATTTTGAATACTTCATCAATTACTATTATTACCTTTGAGATTTTTACACACGGAAGAAATCTCGCTGACAACATGATCATTCACAAAGCGACAGCAATTGAGCCTTAAGTGTGTTAACGAACAACCAGACGAGTGCATAAAATCAATGAAATTCTGTGATGTTATTGACTCGTAATTCCCACACCAGGATAGATCAAGCCGTTGTAAGTACTTGCACCTTGGCTGAATAATACTCAAGGCACTCGTATCAATGCAATTCCAGTAGGGTTTCAGATTCAAACTCGTGTAGAGCAATGCGTCTCGCGCTATCACATTGAAGTATTTATTCACTCGACAAATCCGACATAAGGATTTCAAGTCTAAATTTTTTAGGATTTTCAGCACTGTTTCATCCTAAAAAATTTCAATATTATTAACATTAATACTACATGCTATATAAAATAAAAAAATTACCGGCAGGACTGAAAAATTTCCGCAGATATCCGAAGTATTAGAATTCGCAGAAACATCATGGACGGATTGGGAAGAAACATTAATATCTTTAATTAACTTCGGAAAATCTTCTTGTAAAAATTGCTGTAAGCTATTGAAAGCTTCTTCAATTGGCGGTATGCAGTGGCAATTTAATCCTAGCTTTGACAACAAAGTTCCTTTTGGTAATTTGTCAATTATTTTACTGAAAAATGATAATTTCAATTTAATTATTAATTATTACCAGTAATTTGAAGTTACTATGCAACTTTCGAGATTTATAGATTATAAATAAGAAAACTTTGGCTTAATTTTTTGATATTTCTAATCATACTATCCATAGTCTGGGTATTTTTGAAATAAATTTAAAAAATAGTAGTGCTATCACAAGATCAATTACAAATAATTTAATGGACAAATGTGACGGAACAAATTTATAGAACCAACAAACTATTAGAAACTCCTCCAAAAACTTAACATAAAAAATTGACTATCTTTGAAAAATGTATAAAACCGCGAAAAGGCACAAATTCTTGTCGAGACCTTTCTGATGATACAAAATTTAACTAAGGTAAAGTACCCAGTACTTGAACACTTATAAAAATGAGACCAGTAGGTACTTGATCAGACTTTTCGAATTGTAATACAAAATCCGTACATTTGATATGAGTAATATGCGCATATTATAACTATTCAATGATACAGTAATTGATTTCTGTAAGTTTTTTCAATTATAAATCAATACAATTATATTTTTGTTAACTTAAAAGTTGACATGTCTAGAATAGCCGATATATGCTATTTTTTCATGAAAAAGGTACTAAACGGTAAACCGGACAATCAATAAAAAAAGGTTTATCATTTTAAGTAAAAAAAATTGTACCACTCAATGAAATAGTCTGTTCTAGATAATACATATTTTTTGCAAAGACAAACTATAATTTTTATATTAAATTTTAACGTCTAACTATACCTCCAAATTTTCAAAGCGGTACTCAGAACTTGAACAAGCTGAGGCCGTTTAATTTTAACAGCACTCTTACCTCTAATAAGTTTATAAACTAGTGATCAGCATTGTGATTTGTATTAATTACTGCAAATTAAATAAGTTTTATAGCTAAAAATTATTGAAGGTTTTGAATTGAGTTTTTTTGATTTATAATTGAAAATTTGCTTTGTCATTCATAATAAATGTAATTAAAAAATTAAATACAAATATTTCTCATTTTTAAATGAACATCTTAAATATTCATAGTATTTTTTTTTTTTTTTTTTTTTTTGAAGTTATACTTCTTTAGGCGCGTTATGAAAAATTGATGAGGGTGAAATTTTTTAAAATTAAAAGTATATATTTTCAAAATGGTTTTATACTTTTTTCTTATTTTTTGAGGATTCCCGTAAATTTTTGGACCGGTGTTATGAAAAATACGACAAAAGAAAAAAAATTTTTGAAGTTATACTTCTTTAGGCGCGTTATGAAAAATTGATGAGGGTGAAATTTTACGATGCGCGCGCACCGTGACACAAAATTAACAGAATGAAATTGGCCACAGAATAAAATTAAAAGTATATATTTTCAAATTCGATAGAAATACCATTTAATATGAAATATATTATTCATATTAATAATGAATTCTAAAAAATGGTCAATTAAATATTTTAGTTTTTATTTAACTTGATAATAATTTTCTTTTAATCAATATTTTTTCAAAAATAATAGTAATTTCATGAATTAAAATATTTAAACTAAAATATAAATATTCTAGTATCTATTATATTTAGGTATCTTTTTATTGAGTTCATAATTTTTAATACAAACTCAATCATTTTGCTTATCGAATATAGTAATTCTATCCATATTTTTTTAAATTCATATTATAGACCATTTTAATAATTTTCTGGAATTTCGTTGGAAACAAAATCTAGTTTCGTACTACAATATCTGTCTTTTAATTCATGTATACATTATTTTTAAATAAATATTAATTAAAAAGATATTATCACTAGGTTAAATAATAAATAATGAATTATTTTATAAAAAACATAATATATTTTCAATAAATAATTAATGATACTAAAGTTAGCCGAAGTTTTTAGTTTTTTGATTTTATCTTTAATAATTAAATTAGAACAAAAAAATACTTTTTAAAAATTGCACTTACAGTTCTTGTAGTTTTTTTACAAGTGAAAATTTTTTTTTTATTTTTTTTAATCATTTTTTCAATAAAAAAATAATTCTCAAAATTTTTATATGTCAGCTAACTTAATTTTCATAATTAAAATATTTTATAATTATCGATTATAAACTATTGATACTTTGAACCTCCAAAATTAGTTTATTTTGAAAAATCTTTAATAATATTGAATTAAATTCATATGATAATTAATAATTTTATATTTATACGGTATAGCTAAATTTTTACTATAATTAAACCTACTATTTGATTGTTTTTAACATTTTTCTTTAATCATTTTTGTAATTTTTTTTCTTTAAAATTTTTTTTATTATATGCCAAAGAAGTATAACTTCTGACGCGTGTACATAAGTACACACACCATTTTTTTTTTATATTAATCAATAATATATTATAATTCTTTTGATATTTCAATAAAACGTTAAAAATTTTTGGTGTGCCTATTGCCATACATTTTATTAGTTCAACTACTGCTCCCGGAGTGTTCAATTACTGCAGCTTGTCAGAATTGATTGTTCAACTACTACTCCTTTCATAGTCTGTCTTAAAAAAGTTGTCAAAATATAAATATTCAATCATTCGCGATATTTTGCGCTTCAATCAAAATTGTTTATATTTTCTTGAAAATCACTAATTTGAACTAATAATTACATCTTTATATATTAAAAGTAGGGTCAAATACATTTTACTTTGAAACCTGTTCAACTACTGAATACTTTCCCTTATAAACATTCCTTTAAAAATAATAATATGCTTGTCACAAAATTTTTCTTACTCTGTCAATTATTTAAATTATAAATGACTATCGTTGAAAAAATATCAAAATCAATTTACGATAAAGATTAGAGTGTTTAAAGACTAATTAAGAAACTAAGAAAAATTTTGTAACGGGTATATCTTTATTAAGGTGTGCCAAAATTAAACTTTCGTGATGGACCCCTTAAAATTGGAATTTTGAATTCCGCTTTTAACAGGAGTTGTATTTGGACATTTCCTGAGATATTTTGAGCGTAAGGGATTTATTTGATTTTCATATAATTTTTTAACAGGAGTTTTATTTGGCCAAATTTTGAAATTTTGAAATTTCAGTAAAAATGCCTCAATAAAACTTGTGTTAAAAAATTCTATGATAATCAAATAAATCCCTTACACTCAAAATATCTCAGGAAATGCCCAAACACAACTTCTGTTGAAAGCGGAACTCAAAATTCCAATTTTAAGAGGTCCATCACGAAAGTTGAATTTTGACACGCCCTAATAAAGATATACCCGTTACAAAATTTTTCCTAGTTTCTTAATTATATAGATAATAAATTAAATAAAAATTTTAAATAATTATTTCTACCTTTTATATAGAACACAATGTTTATGAAGAGTACTTTTAAGCTTAAGCAAATCACAGTGAGCTTTCGTGTGGTCTGGAGTGAGATTGTACGAATCATCACTACTGGAACTAGAATGACCACCGAGCTGCTGTAGCAAAGCGCTGAGGTTCCGGTTCTTGAACCCGACGTGAGGCAAAATCAGCTCGGTAGTCCCGATTAGCAAAACGGCGTCCAACTCCGTGTAGTAGTCCAGCTGCGAGTGATTGAACTCCAGTCTCAGTACTTTGGTTTTGAAGCTGCAGAGTTTTAGCGACGGGGAGAAAATCCGCGGCTTCGGAGACACTTTCTGCGGCAAACCACTCCATAACAGTAGCCATTGTCCGTACGAATCTCGCGCCGAGATTTTTATAACGCTACCAGGGTTGTAGGTTTCGTAAATTGATACTCTAATTGGATAGACTTCTTTGTGATACTCGATGTCTGTAATTAATAAAATTTTTATTAATTTTTTTTTTTTTTAACTATAATTACAATTAAATTACTAGCAACCTTGCGGTCACTATGTGACTGCCGTGACTTGTGAATTAAAAATAAATGAAATTTTGTTTTATTAAATAATGAATTTTGTTAAATTGCATTGTACTTTCTTAACTATTGACGTTTTTAAAGATATAAGCTCATCCTGATATTACACTCATCAAGAGCTTTCATTTGAGTACCCACATGCATTTTCATATATTTTTCATATATATATATATATATATATTATAAATATATGAAAAATTGATGTGGGTACTCAAATGAAAGGTCTCGATGAGTATAATGTCGGAGTGAGCTTATATTTTTAAAAATGTTAATAGTTTTCAAGAAACAAGGTCATTTCTTAATTATTGATATTTTTAATAACATATAAGCTCATCCTGATGTTACACTCATCGAGAGGTTTCATTTGAAAATCCACATAGCATTTTTTATATATTTTATATATTTGATATTTGTGAAATATATATAATATATAAAATATATGAAAATTTGATGTGGGTACTCAAATGAAAGGTCTCGATGAGTGTAACATCGGGATGAGCTTGTATCTTTAAAAATGTCAATAGTTTTCAAGATACAAGGTCATTTCTTAATTATTGACATTTTTAAAGATATAAGCTGATCCCGATGTTACACTCATTGAGACCTTTCATTTGAATACCTACATGGCATTTTTTACATATTTTATATATTTGATATTTGTGAAATATATATAATATATAAAATATATGAAAATTTGATGTGGGTACTCAAATGAAAGGTCTCGATGAGTGTAACATCAGGATGAGCTTATATCTTTAAAAATGTCAATAGTTTACGAGATACAAGGTAATTTTTTAATTATGTATCTGGAGAGTATTTTCAAATGCAGCCTAAATATCATAATAAATTGACTATCGGTGAGAATGATATGAAACTTTGAAAAGGCACAAATTCAAATCAAGACCTTTGTAATGACACTAAATTTCATTTTAAAAAACCGATTTTATCATATGATTACCTGGACACAAAATTTTTTTTATTCTCTTAATAATATAGATTTTTTTTTACTTACCAATGTAGTCATGACTATCAATCGGTTCATTATTTGCAGGCATAAAATCAATCAATCGTGACGGTGCTTCATCCCACCAATTTCCGTAAGTTCTCTGTTGATAAGTTATTGTTTATTAATCAATTATTTTTTTTCTTTAATAATAATAATTTTATTAAATTTTCAAGTTAATAAAATTTTATATTTTTTACATGAAAAATTTTAGTAATACTGAAATTAACAAAAAAAAAATTTTTTTTTTAATTTCACTTGTAAAAATTAATGATACTAAAATTGAAAGACAATTTTTTTTATTTTTATTGCAAATTAAAGAATTTGAAGAATTTACACTTGTAATTTTTTTTATTATAATTTAGTTGTTTTAAAAATCAGAAAAATTGATACTGTTAATTTCACTGTCATTAAAAATTATAAAAAGGTGATAAGGAAATTAAGAGACATTTGATAAATTTTAGAATTTTTTTAACATATAATAGCAAAAAAAAACTCATTAAAAAAATTCTGGCTTTAGAATAGAAGTTTTAAAAAATTATAAATGCAATTTTATAAAAATAATTTTCAGAACTTAATTTTATTTTTCAAGAAAAATCAAAAAATTGTCATGAGAATTCATTTAACAGATATTAAATAATTTTTCTAACAATAAATTATGGCAAAAAAATGAGAAAAAAAAATTGACATAGAATTTTTAAAAAATTATAAATGCAATTTTTTAAAAATAATTTTTCAGAAAATATTTATTTGTTAAATAAAATTAAAAAATTATCAATTGACTGCTAACTTTAATGTGATGAAATTGCCAAGTGTCAGCTGATTTTTGACATATAAAAAAAAATGATACTAAAGTTAGCCGACGTTCAAAAATTTTTCTATTTTTTTTATTACTAATTAAATTACAAGTAAAAAAATACTTTAAAAAAATTGCACGTACAATTTTTCAAATTTTCTACATGTGAAATTTTTTCTTTTAATTTTATAGTAACAATTTTTTTCAATAAAAGTAATTATAAAAATTTTCAGATGTCGGCTAATTTAATTTTCGAAAAAAAAAATTTTTTTTTTTTGTGAAATTATTGATAAGAAAAAAAAATTTACCATAACAAAGGCTTGTGGATAATCTCCATAGTCTGGAAATTTACTAGGATTACCAGCAATATTATAAGCAGTGTATGAGATACTAATATTGCTTCCATACTGAGAACTAAAATCCTTGACATCTTTGACATACTGCTCAACAAATGTCACCGTTTCTTCCTTGCAACCATTTTTGTAATTATTATCCTTTATTATAGGTACCAATTCTATTCTAGTTTCGTCACAAGACACCATGTCATTAAAAAATCTAAATATTCACTTAGCCAATCTCCCGTTTATAAACAATTATAATAAAGTGTCACTTTAAATCTAATCAATAACCTCTTTTAGATTGTTAATAATTACTGTTGTTATGTTGTGACAATTACCATTGTTTAAGAGTTATTTTTAATAAAAAAAACTTTTACTGTTATGAGTCAACTGTTTGTTGACAGAATTAAATGTCACGGTTTCGTGTGTTTCTATAAAAGCTAACAGCTGATATTTTTACTCACCAACTAGCGCCACTGTTTTTTTTTTTTTCACTGTCTTAACGGCTGTCAATAATAACATTAATTTTTAATAATTATAATAAAAAATTAAATTGAATACTAAAAGGATAAATTATAAATAATAATAAAAAAATTTATTTTTGTAGTTTTTTATTTATTATAAGAGTGCAATACAATTAATTATATCTAGAACTTGTTAAAATGTTAAAAAATCTTTAAAAAACTTAAAATGAAAATAATTAAATTTATAATATGCATATGCTGTTGAAATTATGATGATAAATAATTTTTAGAATTTTTTATTACAAATAAATTATGGCAAAAAAACAATATAAAAAAAATTGACATGTAGAAATTTTAAATAATTCAAAATTCAATTTTTTTTAAATAATTTTTTTGAGCAAATTTCTTTGTTAAAAAAAATTAAAAAATTCTCTAGTGACTGCTAACTTTAATGTCATGTTGAAATTTGTAGAGATTTTTTCATCTGAAATGAGATAATTGCAAATGACATTTAAGTCAGCAGTCACCACCATTTTAAAAAATTTTTTTAACTACCAAATTTGTTGAAAAAAATGATTTTTAAAAAATTGCATTTTCAATTTTTTAAAATTTCTAAATGTCAATTTTTTTTTGTCATAATTTATTGATTAAGAAAATTATTAAAATTAACAAACATCTGCTAGATTAATTTATAACATTAAAGATAGCAGTCACTTGACTGTTTTTTAATAAATAAAATTGTTCCAAAAAATTAATTTTAAAAAATTGGATTTTTAATTTTTAAAAATTTCTACGTCAATTTTTTTTCTAATTTTTTTTTTATGATACTAAAGTTAGCCGACGTTTTTAATTTTTTGATTTTTTTTTATAATTAAATTAGAACGTAAAAATATTTTTAAAAAATTGCACTTACAGTTTTTCAAGTTTTTAACAAATGACAATTTTTTTTTTTTATTTTTATTTGTAGTCATTTTTTCAATAAAAAAATTCTTTTTAATTTTTAAATGTCGGCTAACTTTATTTTCATTTTTTTTGCCATAATTTATCTATTACAAAAATTTTTAAAATGATCAAATATCTGCTAAATTAATTTTCATATTAATTGCAATTAAAAATTACGCCTGTAAAACTTTTGTATTGACTTGTCTAGCATTGACCATCATTATCTCGGTCTTCATTCAAAAGCAACAAAATTTATTTGTATAAAATTTTGTTACTTTATTGGATTTTAAGCAATCTATGATAATGATTCTGAAATTGAGACATTTGATAATTTTTCAGAATTTTATAAAACTAAAACTAAATTAGCTCACATCTAAAAATTTTCAGAATTTTTTTATTTAAAAAATTTTTACAAAAAAATTCCATTTTTAAAAAACTTGTCCAATTTTTTTTAAATATTCTTTAGTTATAATTTAATAAATTAAAAAATTAAAAATGTCGGCTAACTTTAGTATTATAAATATTTTTATTGTTTTTTATCTATGAAACTATTATAAAAAAAAATATTTATTAAAAATTGCACTTATAGTTTGTTAAATTTTTTAAAAATGAAATTTTTTTTAATAAAAGAAATTCTCAAAATTTTGCGATGTAGGCTAACTTAATTTTCATTAGAATTTTGTAAATAACAAATAAATTATAGCAATAAAAAAATTCCGCATGTAGAAATTGTAACAAATTATGATATTAAAATCAGCAGACTTTTGAAAAATGTATTTATTTTTATTATAAATCTATAATAAAAAAAAATTATTTTTTTAAATTTTACACTTTTAATTTTTTTCAATTTCTCAATGTGGAATTTTTTTATTAAAATTTAGTTGTTATAAAAATTAGAAAAATTGACAAATGTCAACTGATTTCAGGATCATAAACAATTCAATTATTTGAAAATAATTTATTTATTCAATAAAATCCTAATAAAGATAAATTTCTGCTAATTTCAGTGTCGCACTCATTAATAATGTCGGTCAATGCTAACACTTTACAGACGTTTAGAAATGGTATTTTTTTATTTTTTTCATTGACGGAATTTTTCTGTGTTGAAATTAAACTATTATATTGAAGAATAATATTTTTTTAACAATTGAAATTATTTTCCTTTTAAGTTGAATAAAAAATTAAAATAATTTATATATTTACAGGACTATTGCCAATGGAGCAGGGGATGAAAGTAATAGTCGCGGCAACGTTGTAACGAGTAAAAGAGAAAAAAGAAAAAAAAAACGAGTAAAAATTTATTTTAATATATTTTCAAATTTTCATTAAATAATAATAATAATTACTCGTATAAATAATCATAAAAAAATGTTTTAGACAATAAAAATAATAGTCAGTTTACATTTTTACATCGGGTGTAAACTCTGAACTGTACAAGGAAAGTAGCAAAATAAATAATGCGACATTGTCAGATTGTCATACAGACAAATATTTATTTCGTCGTCGCATATATATTTATATAGAGAATACAGTAGCGTGAGAGGTACAGTAACGTTAAAAAAATTTGGTTTACAATTCTTACTCCACAGATATGTATAACATTGATATTAAGCTAAAACTTTTTGACTGGACTGTTGAGAGGAATAATCAAGGGGAAAGAACTACCTTGAGCAGTCTAGTCCAACCATCTAGATTAATTAGTCAATTCTTATTATTAAATCAAATAAAAAATTTTTAAGATTTATAGAGAGACTTTTTTAGGAATTTTCAGAAAAAAAAAAAAGAATTTCAGAATTTTTATTTCTACTTACTAAAATTATTTTTTACTTTTAAAAGAGAAATATTTCTACAAGGGAAGAAATTTCCAAATTTCCAAGGATAATTAAGCTTCAAAAAATTGTCCAAATTCTATTGTCCAAAGGCCAAATAAAGTCACTCCCGCAACCCCTATTACAATAAGTAGGACTTGGCAATTCTTAGAAGAAGAACACTTTATTAGGCTCAAACTCATCGTATCTTTTTGGTACTTGCCGTAAAATCTAAATAGACAATATATTTCCATCACAATTTCTTGTAATCATTTTTACAAAAGTTTTTATCAATTGGATTTTTCTTTTTATCCTAGAAATTTTCAATTTTCAAATAGGATATTTCAATAATCCTGGTGAATTAAAGACTATTTATTTCGGTAACATTTTGCTTAAATAACGATTTCTCGTCCACTAGTAAAAGGACATTACAATAATACATGCGCCACAAAACAGCCGCATAGGCAACCAGAAAGTTAACTGATAAAATACTTTCATTTAAAAATACAGAATTTTTAAAACTTCAATAATACTAAAGTTAGCCGACGTTTTTAATTTTTTGATTTATTGAATTAAAACTAAAAAATATTTTTAAAAAATGGCACTTATAGTTTTTCAAGTTTTTTACAAATGAAAATTTTTTCTTATCATTTTGTAATAATAAAAATTAATCTTTTCAAGATAATTTTTAAATAATAATAAATAATCTTTTCAATAAAACAAAATTCTAACAATTTTGAGATGTTAACTAACTTAATTTTCATAAAATTTCAATGATACTGAAACCATTTTTTGATTTATTTAATAAATTAAATTATATAGCTTCAAAAATATTTTTAAAAAATTGCACGTATAACTTTTAAAATTTTCTACATGTGAAAATTTTTCTTTTCATTTATTAAAAATTATTTTTCAATAAAATAAATATTAAAAATTTTTAAATATCGGCTAATTTAATTTTCATAAAAATTGCACTTAAAGTTTTTCAAATCTTTTAACAGTCAATTTTTATTTTTTTTTCAATAATTTTTTTAATAAAATAAAATTGTCAGATGTCTGGTAATTTTATTTTTATTAAAAATAAATAATATTAAAGTTAGCCGATATTTTTGATATTAGAACTAAAAAACATTTTTTTTTAATTGTACTTGTATAGTTTTTTTTTAATTTTTTACAAATGAAGTTTTTTTGTAATAATTTTTTTAATTAAAAAAAATTCTAAAAATTTTTAGATGTCAGCTAACTTAATTTTAATTGAAAATAAACGTAATAATACTTATTATTATCAAAAAAATAGTGTAAAAAACAAACCTTTAAAAATGATGATTCAAAAGTATGACAGCTGTCATTTAACAATTTTTTAATTTTATTTAATATAGAAATTTATTGTAAAAAATTGTTTTTAAAAAATTGCATTTCTAATTTTTTAAAATTTTTACATGTCAATTTTTTTTCTAATTTTTTTTTTTGCACTAATTTATTTCTTAAAAAAATTCTAAAAATTATATTAATTATCTGTTACTTTAATTTATGAAAATTATTAAGTTAGCCGACATCTAAAAGTGTTTAGAATTTTTTTTATTGAATAAATTATTACAAAAGAATTTTTTAAAAAAATTGCATGTGTAAAAAACAATAAATGTATTTTTTAAAAAATATTTTTTGGCTTTAATTTAATAAATAAAAAAAAATTAAAAAATTAAAAATGTCGGCTCACTTTATTATTATCTTTAATTTTCGTTTCAAAAATTTGGCGCGCGTATTATAGCGCCAATTACAGGAAGTCAAAGTGGCAGCGAGGAGACAGAGACACGCACGCTTCGGGAGATTGAGGAACTTGAACAGAGGGGAGATCCCAGGTGTGGACTTTCAAGCCATATGACTCTCTTACATTTAACCACTCATTTAACGTTACCACGTTGAGGCATTTGCAAGTGACTGGTTCTTGTTAACTAAATTTCTGATTTTTAATCAACTTACTTGTTAAGTA